GAATTTCCTAAATTAAGAGATATTGAAATTCAATATTTAGAAGAACATTGCAATATAATGGCCCCATTGGCTATAGCCATTGACAAAATACAGAGTGAAATTAACTGCTATTATGGAGAATCAGCTCCAATTTAAAATGTCGTTAAAAAAATATACAAATTCAATTCAAACCAATAATTTTGCAAACCATTAGCTATTGCCATAGAAAATTCTTTAAATAAAAGATTTAAAAATATATATGATTTTGATAACAATTTTAAAAGTGCATTTTTGGCAACTATTTCTCTTCCCTATTTTAAAAATGGTTGGATTGATGATGAAAAGAAAAAAAATACCTTCAGGATTTGTTATTACATGAAGTTTTAATTGTTTTTAAAAATAATATTGAAATTAATACTTCAACAAAATCTTCAATTGATGAAGATGTTGATTAATTTTGCTTTAAAAGTACCACATCCAATTCTAATAATTCAATAAATGATATTGAAATAGAGGTCCTAAATTATATGAAAGATGACAGGCGGAGTATAAATATGTTAAATAGTTATAATATATAAAAGAAATATTTATTTAACACAATATTACCCTCCTCAGCCCCCGTTGAAATTTAGCTTTGCTAATATGGTTAATAGACCAAATCGTCAAAGATTGAACGATAAATTATTTGAAAAATTAATAATATTAAAAAATAATGCTGATTTATGATGCTGATTTATTATTATTTACTAATTATATAATTATTAAATGGAATATCGCATTATCTTTTATAATAAATTTGTTATTTTCTACAATTTATTTTAAATATTTTTTTATAAATTTATATTATAGATAAGAAAATAAAGCTTTATACATTTTGATTTTGACTATTTAAAGTTTTTTAAAAAATACAAGTATCTTGTATCTTATATCTTATTGAAATTTTTCTAAAGTATTTTGTATCTTAAATACAAAATTTTATAAAGTATCTGTATCCGAATATAATTTTCTGAAAATTTGCCCAACCCTGCAATTCGGTAACTTTGGTTTTTGCCAAAATTTACAGAGGCATTATCAGAGCAGAAAGCTGACATGTAAATCATTGATAACCCTGAATCAGCTATATTTACCATTATGTGGCTTAGAGGTCTGCATTGGGCAGGTTTTTGGATAATATGCCTGCCCACTCAATGCTTAAAAAAATTTTTAACCCGCCCGCCCAGCCCGCCCATAGTTTTCAAAAAAAATATACCCGCCCGCTCTCCCATTAATCTAAAATTTTTACCCGCCCGCCCATTAAAATTTATTGCCCGCCCACCCATTATCAGAAATTTTTTACCCGCCAGCCCATTATTTATGAAAATTTTTTTACCCAAGCCCGCTATTTTAAGCATCTAATTAAAATAGTTTCAACATTACATCTCCTATATTAAGCTTAAAAATATACAATTTATATTATGGATAATTTATTTAAATAAAATATTTATAAAATATAAATATAAAATAAATATTATAAATAATTATAATGCAAAAATAATAATGAATCCACATTTTCGGGATTCAAACACGTTCTTCTTTGTTCTAAAAACCTTCCGGCAATGCTAAATCCTCTTTCAGAAGTAGGACTTTGCAGGAATTGCTAATATTTTTCTTGCTAATCTTGATAGCTTTGGCAAATCTTTTTCTTGTCGTTTCCACCAAAGTAGGACATCCTTTTAAAGTATATCCTCTTCCTCAATTGAAATCTTGAAATAAAAGTGAACCAATAATAATAAATTTATAAAAGTAATTTAAATTTATATTAATTGTAATATATGCATCTTAAAATTATGCTAAATTATACTTATCAAAAATGGTTACTTTAAGATTTAAATATTTTGTTATGTCATGTACTATTCAGTAACAACCTCATCCTCCCATCTGTTGGGGTTTAATTTTGATGTGGATGCTATTTATTTCAAATATTACATTTAATAAGTAGCTAAACGAATTTATAATTTATTAATACCTTTTAATTGGATTCTCTTTGCTTTTGGGGAAATGGGTAAAATCAAATTTTCATCTACGTCGATGTTACATTCTTCTTTGCAAATCAAATCTAACAAGTTTTCAATATGTTTTTTTACTTCATTAATTTCTTCCGACGACAACATCTTCATTTGTCGGAACTTTGGTATTAAAAATGTTGAAACTTTATGGAGCATATGAATTTTAAATTTTTAAAATAAAATCTTTAGCTCTTTTCTTTATTATATCTATTTCTTTTTCGCATTTTGTTTTTCTCTCCATTATATTCATATTATTTCATTATGCTCATTTAGAAGATTATATCTAATTTTTTTATAAATAAAGAAAAAATGGGCATAAATCCCAAAATATTAATTTTCCTACCATATAAGAACGTTCTGTAGTGTAGGCCTGCAATCACCCTCAAGAGCATTAGTTGCATCTTTATATGGTTCCAAATAATCTATCAGTGTTTTTAAATCTACCTTTCCCATAGATCCCATTTTTTCAGTCATATCACGAGATTGTAAGAATAAAAAAATCTCATCATACATTATATAAATGCTTTGTAGCATATTATGCTTTGTATTCCATCTTATATCAATATTTTGTAGTAACGTCTTGCTTAGATATTTTACGTTGCCACTTTGTTTGAAATAAGTCGTCAAGGATTTTGCAGTTACCAAAATATTATTAATCTCGGGAGCATTTTCTAAAATAAAAGTTGACTGGAAGGTATTACGAAGTATTATGTTCAGCATATGTGCTGAACAGTTTAGTCTATTAAACCTAATATTTGAAAAAATAAAAGGAAAATATAGTTCTTTAAATATGAATGTTTTTTCTTTAGGTGTATACAAAATCTCTCAGAAATTAATAATATCTACCTAATAATTAAATTTTATTTGATAAAAAATTTACCTTTCCAAAGCTTTTTTAATATTTGCTCATTGATCATTAACAAAGATGAGCTTGAAAAAATATTCTCGGGAAACGCCAATAAAAATTTTTTAAAAATTTTTTAAGAATATTTTCTCCCATCTTTTTTTCATCTTGAAATTTTGAAATAAAAAGAAATTTTTTTTTTAATTTCCAATTTTGTATATAATGGATTGATAGAGATATGTAATCGGTTTTAGTAAATTCTTCACACCACATATCAGTAGTACATAAGCAAATGGAATTTTTTATCATTTCTATAATTTTAGGAAATAATATTTCCTTAAGATCCTCAGTAACTTTGGATACGTTGCGGCTAACTGTTGTAGCACAAGGAATGATCATATTAACATCCAATTTACCATATGTTGCCCCTAAGTCGGCAAATCTTTGTAAAATATTTATAAATTCAGGTCCTTGAACTGTTTGAAATGGCCTAAAAAAGATAGAAGAATAATTTATTAAATTAAAATACCTAATGTCTCTAGCGCAATATTCTACAAAATTCGCTATTAGACCAGATTTTATCGTTTTGTTTAATTTAGAATTGTCTTTTTCAAAATATCCAGTTATTTTTTTATTATCTATCAAATCTTCATAATTTGCAGATGAACATTAATGCCGAAGGAAGAAGGAGGTGCCACTTTTGCTATTATATTTAAAGATGGACTCGCAATCATTGCAGCGAATCCAATCTAGCTTTTTGTCATTTTCATCAAAAATAATTTTAAATTGTTTCCACATTGACGATTTAAGTTTATTATTATTATCTTCAATGTTTTTTATCTTATGAAAATTATTTTTTATTTTCTTAGCTATATATTCTTTATTCATAATTTAAAATTAAATTAAAAAATATTATTTTGTTAAAATTTTGTTATAAAAAATAAAATTTATATATTATATAAGAAAATAAAAATGAAAATAAAAAGGGCAATATAAAGATAAACAATCATTACTAAAATAAAATAATACAATGGAGTAATTTCATTATTCCCAAAAAAGGAAATTCTAATTTTCAATATCTAAAAAATTTAAGAAAAAAGTTTTATTTCATTTCCATAAAAGGAGATTTTAATTTGTTTATAGAAAAAAGTTTGTTTTTATTTGTAGAAAAAGTTTTATTAATTGAAGAAAAAAGTTGATTTATTTTATAAAAAGTTATAACAGAAAAAGGCTTTTTTATTTTTTAAGTTCGTAAGAACAATTTTTTATTAATTAAAATAAAAATTTTTAATTTTTTTAACCCGCCCATTGTTAAAAATTTTTTTTAACCCGCCCGCCTGCCCGTTCTTAAAAAATTTTACCTACCCGCCCGCTCGCCCACTAAGATGGGCGGGCGTGGGCGGGCTGGCAGGAAACCCGACCAATGCAGACCTCTAATGTGGCTAGCTACATTGTTGGATTTTTCACTATCCGAGGAAAAATTTTTAACAATTTTATTGAAATGTTCTTATTCTTGTTGAAATAGCAAAGGATAGGGAAATGTTTTAATATTTCCCTTGATGCATCTGTTAGAATTGCATATAGATGCCCCTCTTTCAAATCGTCTAGAATTGACCTCTATGATTCAGATACTAAAACACTTGTGATAGCCTTGCTCATTTTTGTTCTGCCACAAGTAAGGTTTGCACTTATATTGGAGTTGTTATATATCATGAAAAGATTCGACGCACATTGTGATGATATAGCTTTGTGAATGTTGAACTACATGATTATATGATTTCCGCAAATGTAGTTGCATCTGTATATTTATTATTTTTGAGAATAATTTTGTATTGCAATCGATGTTGATATTAGAGGTGGGCGCGGGCCTAATTGTAATAAAAAAAATTCACGCTCACGCTTACCACTAAAAAATTTTTGACCCGACCCGCCCGCTCACGAAAGGCAATATTTTGATTCACGCACGTTCAGCCCGAAAATTCACGGTGTTTTTAAATTTTTCAAAATTGGTAACCTATAATTATACACTTTTTTGAATTTATTCTATTTATTTCTATAATTCCATAACAAAAAATAAATACAATTTATAAATCGAAATTTTTATTTAAAAAAAGAATAATATCCATGTTTTTTTATTTTAATTGAGTACGCCTTTCCTCCAACAAGTGATTGGCTACAGAAAACAATCTTTCACTAGATGCCGAACTTGCAGGGGCGGATAAAATTTTACTCGCCAATTTTTTTAAAAAAGGAAACGAATTTTCATGATTCCAAAACTTCAAAATACTATCATTAATATTTGTCTTCTGAGCGATGAATCTTTTAAGTTCATCCTCGCCGTTTTCTTCGATAGATGGTGAGGGTATATCAGTATCATCTAGATTTGGCATTGACTTATTCATATCATATTTTATGACATTTAGCATTTTTATGGTAGTTTTATATATATCGTTTTTTTCTTCTTCTGATAAAAACTTAAGGCTTTTGAAATTGGGATCCAAAATAAAGCCTACTTTATGTAGGGGCTGCATGATGAATCTTTCTTTTAAAAGACATCCAGTCCTGATTTTTAAGGCTTCTATTATTGTTGTATCCCCTTCAGAGGGTTGACAAAACTGTAATAATTTTTGTCTCCACTGATAAACTTCATTTAATGTGGGATGAGAATCGGCACTCAGATTTTCCGAGCATTCTTTAAATATTGATAAAAAAAATTCTAACTGCCGTAAGATGGTAATATCAACAGTGGCTAGTCGATTTAATTCTTGCTTGCTAAGCAAGTACACCTGAATTTCGGAATATGATTTTAAGAAACTCTGTATCATGATATACAGAGTTCCATCTAGTTATCACATCTTGTTTAAGAGTGTAGCCTAGTTTGCTGTTAGCTGTTGATTGTTTGAAATACTGTACTATTTTTTTCACACCATTTATATTTACAGCTATTTCATGTAAACAATTATCAAAAATGTAATGCATAATGTTTTTTAATATATAACATATGCAGGGTAGCCTTTCATCATCTTTAAATGCACATATTAGGTTTGCCCCGTTATCAGTTACCACTATACATTTACTTAAATAGTTTTCTATGTCTGTGTATTCTTCCAAAATTGAATTTACTATAATTTTGATATTGACTCCTGTTTTTTTTTCATCCATTACCCTTGTAGCCAAAACAAATGATTTTAATTCAAAATCCTTATTGATAACATGCCAGTAATAGTTAAAAAACTACGATTTTTATACTCATCTGTCCAAAAGTCGGTGGTTATGGACAAGTAATTGTTTTTGATCAAGCTTTTTATCTTAATTTAAATTTTTCCATATATTTTTGGAGCTACTGTATTCATAAGAGTTTTTCGACTAACAATTATATCTTTTATATTTTGTTGTCCATATGTAACACCAAAATTAATTAACTCTTGGCCAAGCTTATAAAATCCTTCACTTTCTGTAGCATTTAAAGGTCGTAGATCTTTACATATAAAATATAACTGATTTTTTTGTAAAACTGCTTTTGATTGATCTGACATTTGTCTTTTAAACATATTATATATTGTCTGATCAGAATGTTTTTTTGTATTTTTTATGACACATTTATGTCTTGATAAACTGGCAGTACCTGTTTTACATTTATATGACATCACGTTTTGGCAACTTGTACATTTTACAAAATTTTGTAAGGTACCTTTATAATATATTGTTAAGAAATTTCTTGCTTTTTCTGTTTTCTGGAGCTTTAAATTCAATATCAATGTCTTTCCTTCTTATTTTAGTTAACATCTCTGATTTTGAAATCGTCCATCTCAATTATTTCATTATTATTATTAACATTATTATCTCCTTCTCCACTGCTTTGTGTATGATTTTCCTCTTCAAGGTCGCTTAAAATCATTTATTTAATAAATAAAGAATGAATTAAGTATCTAAAATTATTTAAACCAAAGATTATAGTAAAAAAATTAAGACCATTTTTTTAAAATTCAAATAATATATTAGAAAAATATATCATGTGATTTTCCTTAGCCTGATTAATAAAAAGGTATAAACCAAAATTAATAAAACAACAAGATTTTAAATTATATGAGTAATGTTTGAAATTTTTAAAATATTTGTTAACTATATTTTAAAATATATATAATCCAAATATGCAACTTTATTTATGACAATTATATTGAGTATGTTAGATTTGTTGGTAAATATGAGAAAATTTAAACAATGAATTATATTAATTTCGAATCATTATAATTTGAGTGAAAATGATTAGTATAAATAATAAAGATAAATGAAAATAAAACATATTTAAATTTATGTTTTACCATATTTCCATTGATTTATTATTTTTCATTGGTTGTTGTATTTTGTTGGATCTAATAGTACTCTAGATCTTTGAGTTTAATTGTTAATAAAGAAATACTTATTATATATTAATATAATATTATAAATTTTACTCCTTCACTACTCATACATTACATTAAAGCATTTATTACAAATAATAAAAAGTAAAAACTTTCAATGACATTTGTAAATACTAAAATTTATAATTTAATGCGAAGAATTACATTTTCATTGTAAAATAATATATATTATAATAAAATACTTGAAAGAAGATCACTATATACATGTAAATAAGCTTGTTGATAAATTTGATTTGAATTTGAACATAATTTTAAAAGAAAAAGCTAGCAAAAGTAAAAATAGGTTCACTCGGATGTTGTTTATAAAATGTGAAAGATTTTTTGTTTTCAAAAACTAATCTTTTTTTTAAAAAAACTAAATTAAATTAAATAATAAATAAAATATATATTTTTTAAAATTATAAATTTGCAAATTTATATTAATAAAAAACAATTTTAAAAATTAAAATTTCCGTGATTTATGGAAATTTGTGTTCACGCCTACTCACGCACGGGGAAAATTTTGGAAAGGCCCGTCAGGCCCAGTCACGCCTAATAATTTAAAATTTCTTCACATTCACGCCGTGACGCGTAATTTCACGGCCCGCGCCCACCTCTAGTTGATATACTCCCCTATACTGACTTATATGAATGAAAGATTTATTATTGGATAAAAATAAAACAGGATAGAAAGAAATTTACAAACTAGACATGTTTTTCGAATAAATATTTTAAATTTATTTTAAAAATATAAAAATAATCAATTAATGTCTCTCAAAATTATTATTTATATATTAAAAACGTTAAAATACTAAAAAAAAATTGCGGGAGAAATTAAAAATAGGCGGTAGATTTTTACGGGAGATTTCCAATTGCGGTAGTTTTGCGCGAGAGAGATGTCTGCGTGTAAACTAAAAAATTGCGGGAGCCTCCCGCTGATGGGGGAAGACATGGCAACCCTGTTCTTAATTCTATCAGAATAGGAGATATAGGGCTTTAAAGTGGCTCAGTTTGGTAATTTTTCGAAAAAAATGAATTTTTTAAATTGGGATAACTTTTATATTAGATGCATTATGTATATCTATTATGGCTCATTTTATAGCCCTAATATAACTCTTGAACATATGTTAAATAAAATTAATTTTTAGTTTATACATTTTTTTAAATTGCGGTTAAATATTTGTAATTAATTTTTTTTTTATATGTTAGACTAAAAATTTTTTTCCAAAATTTAGATATTTTGTAAAGAGCACCAAGAACTGTTCATATAAATAATTTCAAAGTGGGACCAAAAAAATAATTAGGAAATATCTCATTTTTAAAAAATCCACTAGATGGCGTAAGAGCTTAAAATATCAATTTTAACAATATAAGTCAATCTAAGAAATTTTTTTTATTCCACAATAAAATATTTATCAAATAATTAATAGTGAGCATAATATTTAAAATAATTTTATTAAATTTCCTTGAATTTAATTTATAGATAATAAAATTTATTAAGTAGGCATTAATTAAATTAACAATTTTTCGAATAATTTTTTTCCAATAATTTTTTTATCTGTTACTTTTTCCTAAAATTTGTAATTTTTAAAATTATTAATATGTTTTGTACAAATCCATTGAATCTTTCAAATCACTATTCCAAAAATGATTTAAGAAAAGTGACGATTTGGATGACAATGTATCATAAAATTAACAAAGGAGAATATTTTTGTCCTAAGTGTCGCAAATTTTTATATAAAAAGAAGAAAAGTATTCCAATTTTAAAGGATAGCAACATCCTTACAACTTCAAATAATTTCTTAAACTCCACCGATATAGAAAATGATATTATCCAATTAATAACGACAATTATGCATTTTGTCGCTTTTTCCATCAAAAATTAAAATGTCATAAAGGATTTGCTCTTAATTTTATCAAACACACAAAATAATAATTAATTCTCATCATTTTTTAAAAAAATTACCTAAATTTATATGGCAAGAAAAACAAATTTCTTAAAAAATTAAATAAATTGCATATAAGTTTCATTAGTATTGAATGACATTTTTGTAATTTAAATAGATAGCATTTTTTTTGTACTTAACATAAAGATATAGATAGCCCTTATAAAATTTTTTGATAAAAGGAGTTAACCCACTAATTGGTAAATCCGAGATTTCCCCTTCATGTGATGATAAATTATTTAGAAATTTAACTATCTCTGGGTTTGGGAAAAAGTTTTGAAAATTAAAATGGTTTAGACTGGTCTTGGAAAATATTCCTCAAGATTAATATTTGCTTGCACCTGACTTGGGAATATCTTTTACAAATTATTATGGGCAGGTGTAATATTGTGAAAACAATACCATCTAAATTCAATACGGTATTGATTCTACAATATTGTAAAATCAATACCGTATTGATAATTTATGACCCAACCTAAACTTTTAAGAATAAAACCTAAAATTTATGTATGAAATCGGTACATTTAAATTTATAATTATATTTATATCAAGCAATAACAATTAAATGTCAAAATAGGAGAATATAAGTAACAAAAAATATCATTTGCTGCTAATACATAGTGACAGAAAATATCCTTCCTTTACTGCTTAAAATATCACAATTTTTTAATGATCAAATTAGTACATTTAAATTTATAATTATAATTTTATATCAAGCAGGAACAGATAAATATCAAAAATATCCTTTATTGCTAATACTTATACAGGAAAATATTCTACTGCTCACAAAATTTTTAATGAATCAAATTGGTACATTTAGATTTATAATTATAAATTTTATCAAATAACAGATAAACAATAAAAGAATATCTAGTAACAGGAAAATATCCTTTACTCCTTAAAAATGATCCAGGTAAAAAAAGTAATTTTAGATGTACGGCAAACAGTTTTATTGTTAAAGAAGATATTCTTTATAGAAAAATAAAGAAGGTAAATGTGATCACAAAATAATAATTTCTATTTATTTGTTAGCTTTAGTAATAATGGATGGAGCAGAGAAACAAAGGGTAATATCTATTATTCACCAAGGATCAGATATATCCCTAGAATCTAGAGCTATTGTGCCCACCTAGGCATTAATAAAACTCAACTTAAACTCTCTGAAAGGTATTTATTATGGTGTTAATTTTGTGTTTATAGATATTGGTAGCCAAAATTATTTCAAGACACTATTGATTTTATAAAATCATGTGATAGATGTCAGAAGGCCAATACAAGATTTTCTAAAATTTCTTATAATTTGAATCCTATAGATGTACCACCTCTTCCATGGGCTCAAATAGAAATAGATCTTTGCTGCCTGCCCACTTCTGAAGAAGGCTACACATGTATTGCAGTTGCCTCTGATTATTTCACAAAATGGTTAGGCAGAACCTATGAAATCAAAGACAGCTGAAGAGACTTGTAAATTTATTTATG